GGCGGGGGGGGGGACTGGATCGGATGACAATCGACTGGATATCTATAGAAAAAAATCAAATCAGAATGGAAAATTTGCATGAATTTGGGGGACTGAAACATTGCGCCCGAGTCAGGGATACTTTACAAATCCGGATTTAAATGACCACTGCAGTGGGATAGAACAAGTTTGGACAAGTTAGTGTGCTTACGCATTTTCAAACCATTGTGCCTTGTCTGGCCTCGGTCCGGTACAATCCTGTAGAATGGATATATAACTCAGTAGAAATTGGTCTTTCCCCCCTCAACGTTTCAGGCCAATTTCTCTCGCTTCCACCGGTTTGATGGAGCGGTCATTTTTGTATCACCTTTAGTTATCTCACCGTCAATGACATTCATCAGTTTGCATACAAACATAGCCACTCTATGCTGGTTGTCCCACTTCTCTTATCGAATGGTTCGGTGATTATTTTTCGTTAAGCTATCATTGGGTTAAATTGGAAAGAAGACTTCTTCTTTTTTCATTTTACTTCCTTTTATTGAATAAACAAAGACACAATTTTAGGAAGGAAGACTCAGCCAATCAAAGGGCCGCCATTCAACACACAATGGGGAAAGTCAGGCGGTGGTGGTGGGATTCGAACACACATTCCCGGGGTGATAATTTGGTGACGTTACCAACACCGCCCAATCAGTATCGTCACTCAGTAGTTCGGGTTTACTTCAAGGTGTTGTTTTATCACCCTATCGTTTTACTACTTATATTAGTGACTTAACGATTATTCCTCCTGTGAGACATTTCGAGTAAGCTGATGATTTCTCCATTTCTGTTTCCGTATCGAACCAATCAGAACTGGCTGCCTATAACACAAGCTTATCCCATCTCTTTACGAATTCCACTTTTTTCAATCATAACGCTATTATCGAAAAATGCCTTGAGTGCATTTTTACTTTAAATCGTTCCCCATCTCACTCCGACAATGTACAGATTCAGATGCAAAGGCGGAATCAGATATGTGAAGTACTTACAGTACTGGCCGATTGTGATGCACTAAAATATTTTCTTTCTGATCAAATTTTGTTTCATTATATTTCAATATGGACAATAATTGATCTCTGGTCTACTACAATCTACGTAGTTTCTAGGCTGCGTGATTGTCATTTATACGTGTCTGACCTTTGTTGTCAAGCAAGTAACCTTCACCGGTCTTTGCATACCAGCAAGATGAAAAAGTTCTCTTCTTTCAGATACGGAGATTATGTCTTTTCTGTTCTGATTTGTCAATGATAGGAACCTTTGTTCAACAATGTGTTCTTCCTGTGCTACTTTAGTGCTCCCCTGAGATTTTCCCTGATTTGCTCCAGGCCGATTTCAAGCTACCGAGACGCGACCTCTCAATCATAAGCCATGTTTCTCAATTTCCGTTACCCGTTCTGACTGACAGTATCGGTGATGCTCACATTGATGCATGCTTAGAGTTTACTGACAATTATCTGAAAACAATCAATTTGATTTCATCTATCATATTCACATCGACCTGTATGCATGCATGCATGCGAATCCCACCCTTCCACCTGTTTCAAATACAAACTCATTCCATCTCGGATAGTTATCTACATAAACTCTTTGGTACTCTATCTTTCCCGGATACTGACCGATAAATAGGATGTTCTTTCTGAGTCTCCCCTAATGCATTTATAGTAGTTAGTTCGCATTTTTGCGTGCGCTTGATATCCCAATGTTTTTCTCTTCTTGCTATAATTGTGACGGTGGTCCGTTTTTGAGTGAAAGGTTTCAGGACAATTCACGTGAATGATGAAAGCCATACACTGGAAGAGCACACTTACCTGTGCCTCGTATATGCCACATACGATGATTTGGATGCACGACCAGGAGTTTATCTGTGAACGTGTAGCGCAGTCGAAATCCGCGACGGCGGAACGGTCCGTTTGTACCATCATTCAGGCGAGCGCGTTCCGAACGGGAACCAATCAAACTGCCCGTGACAAACAAGATGAGCAGACTCGGTCCGGTGGATACGACGCGCAACCGACGATTCCGTCCGCAGAATTTCGGCCCGATCGGCGGATTGTCTGGATCAGCTGTCTCTCCGTCGTGAAATTGCAGATAGTCCATGGTACATCTAGGCATGATGAAATACAAAGTTTACCACATCAGATTCCGCTATTACTGTTCTGTTTTCGAATGGAGCAGAACATTAAGCAATATCTTCATTGTACTAACAATTCGGATTCAAACTTATGCACCCCGTTTTCCAGTGTTTGCAATTCTTGCACTACAAATGAGTCCAGAGGAATGCTTCGTGATTTTGAACAAAGATGAATATATTGCCAAATCCACTAGGCTAAGGAATGAAGAATGAAACGAGAATCAATTAAAATAACACCGAAGCTATCGTGAGAGAAACTGAACGTTTGTGGGAGCGTGAGCGTAAGATAATTTCAAAGAAACGAATAAATTAAGTCAGTAGGATCCTGTCTAACTACGGTTTAATAGCAATCAATAGCATATTTCTTCTAATGGCTCAGCGTTCGCATTCATCCATATCGTTTCATTTCCGACAGCTGAGTTTCAACACCCATCTGAAGAGTCCGTAGCATGTTTAGAGCTTGAAGAGCTGAAGCTTTTTTAACTAAAATATATTGATCGATTTGAACTGACTATCCTTCGGACTTCACTTTCACGCACAATCCTCAGTTCATCGATTCAACCATACAATCGGAATTACTAGACTCGAGTTTCGCCCTCATTGGAGCTCATCAATAGTGCATATCCACCCTGCCGTCCGGGATTTGATTTCCGGATCCATCGCATGGAAGATGTGCGTTGCCACTGTACCATGGTATGAGCCAGCTGGCACAGTGGTGATGCACACGCCTTGCATGCGATGGATCTGGAGTTCAAATCCCGGGTGGGGCGGTGAATATGCACTACTGATGAAACTCGAGTCTAGTGCTTCCGAGTGTATGGCTGAATCGATTGTACGTGCATGTGAAAGCCTGAAGAATAGTCATTTCAAGTCAATCAATATCAATTGTCCCACACCACTACTCACAAGTGACTTCGAGCTAAATAAAATTATATTTAATAATTAAATTTTTATGTTGGAAACAACAGAATGGAGTAACTCTGTAATCCCGAGCACCCTTTCGATTACTGGGTCCGGCAAGCGGATTGGGTAAACAAGTGTCAAAAGAATAGATGAGATGCCTATGATCGTCATTCACGTAGGCTGGTATGGATTCAGTTCCGTAATTGAGTCTCACAGCTTGGTACACACAACTATGGGATCTCTGAGATTTGGACGACACTCACGGCCATAATCACCACCAACATTATTAGAATTTCATCTTGTGGACACGGAGGTTCTATATATGAGTTTTAACACTTGATGAGTCATAAGCCATGGTGCATGAACGAAGGTTGAGATCAGAGATCAACACTGAAGCACAGTTGGGCTGTATTCAAGGAGCACTGCGGATATACAGAGATTGACCAAACTCGTGCAAAAGCATCCTGACACTTTCATCACATTTGTTCATCCCAACGCTTCGCTTTTCCAACCTCATTCATGAGAGTGAATATGATACTGCCATTTCTCAGAAGCAATATATTCGTCATAATAGCCATCTGTTAGTTAGCTTCTGTTAGTTGAATGTAAATAAAGTGTACGATTTCTCGATTTTGACAATGATTGCCGGTGCATCGGTTCTAAATTAACAAAGCCACAGTACAAAACATAACTCGAATTTGTTTATCGAAATGGCAACACTACAAGACACTTGTTCAATGATTTGCACACCTCAAGGTCAACTTTCGAAGGTCAATTTGTACGTTTCTTGGAATATATTTTCCGTTGCTTCAGCATTAGGAATAATGCGTGAGTAGTTAGTAGCCAAATAATTTATCGATTCAGTAAAACTAGGATATTTTCATTAATTGGCTTACTTAACGTACACTGAATCAAAATAGATAAGCAATTTAGAGTAAGTGTGTTAAGCTAATGAAACGGGAATCATTCTTTAGAAAGAATGAGTTTCTTTGATGCTTTGCATAAAATATTTTCCAATACTGAGCCGTAACTTTCGAACTACTATAAATTTTATCGAGACACTCAAGGTAGCACAAATTCAAACGGTGATAGAAAAGAAGTAGAAACAAAGGAGTTGGAGATAAAGTCGGGAATAAATACACTTCACTCAGAGCCATCAATATACAAATATAATATTGCAAACTCTAATTGATTTCAAAAAGTGGAGTGATGTTACACAAGTTTGGTCAACACCTGTATAGAGTACATAAAGGAACTTGTGGAACAGTTTAAATTTTCATGAACAAAGTTCAGTAAAACTTTCTTCGGATTTTGGAGACAGTGGTGCGTATGATGGTGTTCTATTTCACTCTAGGGTGCAATATGTCTCGTTAAGATCCCGTTTATAGGAGAATTCTTACTTTCTATTGCACACAGCCGGAAGTTATGAGCAGAACAATGTGGATGGAGTTTCAGAACGAACTGGGGACGATGTTTTCGGTCAAAGTTCAGCCTAACGCGTGTTCTAGGTCAGGTAATAGGTAGACAAAAGTCAGCGGCGGTCAAAGAAGGACTTGGCGTGAAGGTATGAAAACCCTAACCAGGAGACTTGGTTGCGTTAGGCTCCTTAGATGGGGACCTCGGGATGATCGTAACCGATGGTTCGAGACGCTGATTGATGTGGCTGAG